CAACAACGACAACAACAACAAAAGCAAAAGCTTCACTGGTTCCGGCCTCCAGAGGCCCTCGGCAGGCCCTGGGACCGTCTAAAGACGACTCCAGTCCCACAGCCGTGTTTTCGGTGCTGTTTCTGGGAGCACTTGTTCCTGGAAAGAGCGGGTCGGGCGAAAGGGGGGGATAGCAAAGGGGGGTTTGAGAATCAGCTCGCGTAGCTGATTTTCGCGGCGCCTCCCGGCGCCGGGAGGCGCCCATGTATCGAGGAATGGGCCCCTCGGTGAAGCCGAAACCAGCTGCAAGCAGCAAATTTCGTAACCCCCCCTTTCCCAATCCCCCCCTTTCGCCCGGCCCGAAAAGGGCGTGGGCACAAGGTTTTCTTTTAGTTGGTACACCTGTTCCTGGCAACATGCTTGAAGGAGGCCGGCAAATATCCGATCGATAGACAATGAGGTTAAGTCCCGCTTTGGGTGGAAAAAAACCGTTTCACGCGCGCCTGCTCGAGAAAGGAGCGCACCCCTATCACAGATCCTGGATAAATAACGGGTTCCGCAGACCCCCGTTTTCTTCTGTCGAGAACAAGGGTGCGGAGCGTTTTGCGCAGATGAAGTGGTTCTGGGAGTGCGGCTAGGGGAGCGCGGACGCCACGTTATTTACGATGGATCATGGCCCTGGAAGCGCGGACGCATCGTGATTTAAAAAAACCGTGGTCCTGGGGGGACGCACACAGCGTAATTCACCATGGATCCTGGCCCTGCGTGATTTACAACAGATCGTGGCCCTGGGAGCGCGGACGCCGAGTAATTTACATGGGATCATGGCCCTTGGAGCGCAGACACAATGAAATTTACTCTGGGTCCTGGCCATGGGAGCGCGGGCGCAACGTACTTTACGCTGGATCCCGGCACTGGAAGCGCAGACGCATCGTGGTTTACAAAAGATCGTGCCCCTGGGGGGGGGGGAGACAGAGCGTAATTTACTAGGGATCGTCACCATTGATATCTTCAGCATTGCCACTGCCCATCGCCCAATTGAGACGCTTGAGAAACAATTCCATGCCTCGCAGTTCTAAATCCCTCTCTGGGGTTGTGGGTCGATCATGTTTCATACCGTCGACCCCCAGAGGTCTCGACCCGTTCTCCAGGACCGACTTTTCATCGCGAATCGCTTTTTGACGGCCCCGAGGCCCCGCAAGCGCATCCGGCGGCCGAAAGCAGCGAAAAACTCCTGTCATGATGACTCACTATTCCACGACCCGTGGGGGTCTGGGTAACATTGCCTCTGTCGTCCGTCTTCGTCGTCCGCCGTCGTCGTCGTCGTCGTCGCCGTCATCGTCGTCGTCGTCGTCCGTCGTCCGTGGTCCGTCGTCGTCGTCTTCCGTAGTCCTTGTCGTCGGCGTCGTCGTCGTCGTCGTCGTCGTCGTCGTCGTCGTCGTCGTCGTCTGTCGTCTGTCGTCGTCGTCGTCGTCGTCGGCGGCGGCGTCGGCGTCGGCGTCGAAGGTCCCCCGAAACGCTACCGTCGTCGTCGTCGTCGTCGTCGTCGTCGTCGTCGTCGTCGTCGTCGAGATGAGAACTACCGTCGGAGACCTGGGGACGACGACAATGCGGGCGGCCACGGCGGCGGCGGCGCGCCGCGCCGCGGAGGGACCCTCGCCGCCGCCGCGTCGCCGCAGCGGGTCGCCGTCGCCGCAGCGGGCCACCGTCGCCGCGACGACGCGGGCGGCGGCGGCGTCGGCGGCGAGGCCGGCGGCGTCGGCAGCGTCGGCGGGAACGCACGAAGACATACTAGTGCTATACGTTCTCCTTGGAGGCGCGCGTCCGACCCGAATGTGTGGTATAACCATCGTGTAGTAGATCATTCCCCGAGCGGCGTGGCCAGAAAGCACCCAGCACGGTGCTTGTACTATGAGATTTCTCGGCGCGCGCGTCGCCCCTTGGGGAGCCGATGCACACATAGTATTATGTCGGGCGTGTCCCCCTACAGGGGGATTTTCGACGAAAAATAAAAAGAATACCCAAAAGATACCCAAAGAAGATCCAAAAATATTCCAAAAATAGTCCCCAGACTATGTTTTGATTATTGTTTGGCTATGTTTGGTGTCTTCTTTATTTTTCGTCGAAAACCCCCCTGTAGGGGGGCAGGCCCGACTAAAACATATATATATATATGTTTATATATATACATATATATATATGTATATGTATATATATAAATAAATATATATATATATATATATATATATGAGCACGTTGGGGCGACGCCGACGCGGGGAGGCGAGCGGCCAGCACGGCCAGCGCGCCTCCGGAGCAGCGCCGCGGAGGCGTCGACGTCCTGCGCGTGCTGCAGCGCCTTGCGCACGGCCTCGGGCGGCGGCGCCAGCCGAAGGCGGGTGGCGGCGACGACGACGCCGACGCCGAGGACGGCGAGCACTCAGCGGCCCCCCCGAAACGGCTCCTGGAGGCGTGGCTTCTGCCCGCCCTGCGCGCACTGAGTGCTCCGTGGACCCCCAGGGGCCCTCGGAGGAGGAGGAGGAGGAGGAGGAGGCGGAGGAGGAGGAGGAGGAGGAGGAGGGAGGAGGAGGAGGAGGAGGAGGAGGAAGAGGAGGAGGAGGAGGAGGAGGAGGAGGAGGAGCAGCAACGCCCAGGAAGGCCACAGGAGGAGGCCCCCATCCGCCGAACCCGCGGGGGAGGCCAAGAGTTCCCCAGGAGAGCAAATCCAGCGATTGCTGCCGGCCCTCGTCGAAACCATTGCCATACCCCCGAAGACCCACTGATGGCGAGATCTGGGTGCCCAGCTCCACCGGGGGACCCGCGGCGACTCCCGCGCCGCTGGCTCCGACTCAAAACTCGTCGAAACCTCGACCCGCCTGAATCTTCTCGAAAACTCGTCGAAACCTCGAAACCTCGACTCGCCGAAAAATCGAAACCTCTCGTCGAGATCCTATCTCTTGACTTTCTCAACACGGGGTCTCCGCAAGTCTCTTGGACCGCGATGAACGGGGGGGCGATTAAGGGGGGGGTAGCGCGGGCTGCCGAAAAGGGGCCCTTGCGGGCCCATGTTAACTTTTGGGGGGCCAGAATGGGGCTTTGAGGTCCCGAAAAGGGCGTCTTTCTTCCCCGCCCCGTTCCCTGACCTTCCAGGGTGCTAAAAAAATTGCCCTCCAGACCTCTAGACCTATCTGGACTGCTTAAAACCTCGACAGGGATTTGGACGCCTGGTCCAGGTGCTTCTTCAAGCCCTCCTGGAAGTTCAGGGCTTGTCGCCCCCCATTAATTCGCGCCCAAGCCGCGACCCCACTCCCAGGGACCAGCCTCTCCTCCTGCCCTTAGGTCGGGCATGTCCTCCTATGGGGGGATGTTGGACGAAATACAAGAATACCCAACAAACATAGAAAAATCGTTTCCATGCGATGTCTTGAATCTTTTTTGAATACTCCTCATGTAGAGGGGCATGCCCGACTTAATCCTGACTCTTGTATTTTCTGGAAGGTCACAAGGCCTGGCCCCGGCGAGGGGGCCCTCCCGAGGGGCCCGAGGAGAGACGGCCAGCAACCTCCGCGCGAGCACATGATGTCCGGGGCCGCTGCCTCAGTCGGAGCCTACCGAAGGAGCTCGACCACAAGAGCCCTCCCGCAAGAAACCCAACCCTGAGACCCCAGTAGAAGAAGAAGAAACGCCATCAGCATACACTTCTGGCGCTCCGCGCGGATATCTTGGATCTGCGCTGGACCCCCCCACTAGCGCGCGGAGCGCGCCAGGGGCGGCGCCGGAGGCGCCGCCGGGGGGCCGCCGGGGGGCACAGCGCGGATCCAAGAAATTCGCGCGGAGCGCCAAAAGTTTATGTTTATGGCGTTTTGTCTTCTTCGACCCAGGACGTCCAGTGACTTTTGGTGTGGGAACGTCGCGCGTTCCGCACCAGAACCATCGAAACCCCAGAGACCCAGGGCACCCTGGAGGCAAGCAGGGTGGTTTGTTTGGCATGGGTTTCCACTGCAGGCCAGAAGAGCACCCTTCAAAAACATAAGACCCTCCGCCGGCCAGATCGGGAGCGGCCAAGAGGGGGGTGTCCAAGAGGGGGGAGTGCAAATCATGACCGGCGGCATGTGCGCGGCCCAGCGGGGGGACCAGGGACGTAATGAAATAAGAAGAGGCGCCATGAAATCTGGGGAAATATCATGGCCCCCGCCATGATATCCACCCCCCCTAGTCATCACCCCCCTCTTTGCCGCCCCCGACCGAAACACACGGAACATCCAAGGGGATCCTCACCGGGACGGACAAGAGCGTCCAACGGGCCCCCCGAAGGCCGAAGGGACGGCCAACAAACTCCACGCGAGCACGTCTGGGGCTGCTGCTGCAGTCGGGCCCAAGGCAGAAGACCACCCTTCAAGACCGTGGGACCCTCCGCCAGCCAAAACACTCAGAGAACACCCCAGGGCACCTCCCCCAGGAAGCACAACGGGCGCCCCACGGACACGAAGACCACAAGGGCACCCTCCCCGAGCCGACCTCGATCTTAGACCTCGGTCCGACCCCAGAGATCCGATGATGTGACTTTTTCTGGACGGGGTCCGCGAAGTCTCGGCACATTCCCCGGGACCCGCTCTTGATCCTGAGTTGTTCTTTGACGGTCCTTGGGCCTGGCGAGGGCCCCCTGGAGCCCAAAGGCTGCGGCAAGCCTCCGCCCTGACTTCTGTGTCAGTGCGTCGCATCTCTGGGTCGGCCCGACTGCGCCACGTGACCCCTCCCCTCTGGACGCCCGAAATGGGCACGGAAAAAATGTGTATACAATGCCCAGCAACGAATGCTGTCCCAAACCAACAGCGGCCGCTGTTGGGCAGGCGGCCCTCTGTCTCGAATGGACACGGGCCGCGGCGGCGTGGACAGCGAATCCTGTTCAAAATGCACAGGAACTGCTGTTGGGCACAGCCTCCGGGCGGCCGCGGCAGCCGGCGCGCGGCGGAGCGGGGCGCGGCTGGGCGCGCGGCGGTGACGTACGGCGTGTCGGCGATCGCCTCCCTCTCTCGGGCTGGACGGAAGGGAGGGATTGGGAGAGGGGGAGCTACGAAATCTGCTGCATGCAGCTGGCTTCGGCCCCACCGAGGGGCCCATTCCTCGATACGTGGCCGCCTCCGGCGCCGGGAGGCGCCGGGAAAATCAGCTACGCGAGCTGATTCTCAAACCCCCCCTTTGCTATCCCCCCCTTTCGCCCAGCCCGACTCTCTGGCGGCGCGCAGAAGGGGGGGGGGGGGGGCAGGGGCCCGACCTTCCAGGAGGGCCGAAGAATGGCGCCCGGGCCCCGGCGTCCGAGCTCCCGTGGAGGCGTGCGAGGAGCAAATCCAAAGAGGTCTGCAGGTCGGGAGGGCCACCTGGCGGCACTCTGGGAGGTCGGGGGGGGGGGAGGGGGAGGGCGTCTTAGAGGGAGGCCGCTTCTCGGAAGGCGCCGGCCCTGCACGTCCATAGTTAGCTCAGGCCCGCGCCTTCTACGGAGCAGCCTCCTCCTCCTCCTCCTCCTCCTCCTCCTCCTCCTCCTCCTCCTCCTCCTCCTCCTCCTCCTCCTCCTCCTCCTCCTCCTCCTCCTCCTCCTCCTCCTCCTCCTCCTCCTCCTCCTCCCTCCTCCTCCTCCTCTCCTCCTCCTCCTCCTCAGAAGCCATCCCCCCTCCCCCTCATTGCCACCCTCTGCGCGTGGCCGATCCCTCCTCCCGCTCCATCGTCTGAGAGGCAACGAACGATAGGAGGGAACTGGCATATGGGGGAAAACATCGACCTGGAACTGGCGATACATCGACGATAGATCGGCGCTAGGCCCCCGATTACTAATCCGAACGTTCCTGGGCGGATTGGGGCTATCTGGCCACTATCGGTGATGAATGGACGATGGGGGGTCGATGCATCTCCTCCTGATTGTGCCTATCCCCCCCCCCTATCGTTGCCCCCGACCCTCTCCCCTCCCCCATGCATGCTCGCGTCGCGAACAAAACATGACGGGAGGCTTTCGACCGTTCTCGGCCTCCAGGGGGTTCGGGGGCCCTCGCCGGTCCCCGGGTCCGTCAGAACACGACGATTCGGGCCTTCCTGGGGCCCCGTAGAGAAAGAACAAACAAAAAACGATACATCGCATGGCTGGGCCTCCCTCCTTCCTCGCGCCTCCCCCCTCCTCGATCCTCTCCTCCTCCTCCTCCTCCTCCTCTCCTCCTCCTCCTCCTCCTCCTCCTCCTCCTCCTCCCCCTCCTCCTCCCCCCCTCCTCCTCCTCCTCCTCCTCCTCCTCCTCCTCCTCCTCCTCCTCCTCCTCCTCCTCCTCCTCCTCCTCCTCCTCCTCCTCCTCCTCCTCCTCCTCCTCCTCCTCCTCCTCCTCCTCCCCGCTTTGTCCCGCCGTCCCCTGCTCCCTCCTCCTCATGCTCCGACCTCCTCCGTGCGCAGGAGGAGGAAGAGGGAGAGCAAGGAGGAAGAGGGCGAGCGAGGACGAGGAAGAGGGGGCAAGATGGAGCTGTCGAGCCAGCGTCAGCGTCAGAGCCGCGCCTCGCATCGAGGGCGAGGCCCGGGACATCCCCCAACCCCAGGAGCCGCTACGACAGTCACAGCGGGCGCTCCGAGACGGCCAGGGGATCTGACCCGGAGGGGCCCCGAGACCATCTGTCAAGAAGGGGGGAGAGAAGGCCCTGGGCCCCTCCCTCCCTGGGTCCCTCTGGTGCGATTGTTCACTCTAGATCCGTCGTTTCGACGGTCCCGGGGCCCGACAACGGCCTCCAGAGGGCGAGAAAGGCCACACAATTATGCTAACGGAGTTCCCCACATAAAGAGATTAACGGTTTCGTGGGACCCATTTTCTTGATGCCCTCCTCGCTTTGGCGGGGCCCCGCTGGAAGGGGGGAGGGCTACGAAACCTGGCGAAGAGTAATGCTTTCCGCGACCCTCCTCGTTCAAGCGCGGCCTCTCTGGAGGAGTGGAGGGGGGACACGAAACCGTGTAAACAGCATGTTTTCCGATACCCTCCAGGAAGAGGAGGAGGAGGAGGAGGAGGAGGAGGAGGAGGAGGAGGATAAGATGGATGATGGCGAAGAGCAGCAGCAGGAACCGCAGCAGGAGCAGCAGCGGGAGGTTGGTTTGAGTGTAGGATACCCTCCTCGCTCAGGCGGGGCCTCCCTGGAGAGGTGGGAGGGGCACGAAACCATGTAAATAGTATGGTTTCGGATACCCTCCTCGCTCAGGCGGGGCCTCCCTGGAGGTGTGGGAGGGGCACGAAACCATGTAAATAGTATGGTTTTCCGATACCCTCCTCGCTCAGGCGGGGCCTCCCTGGAGGTGTGGGAGGGGCACGAAACCATGTAAATAGTATGGTTTTCCGATACCCTCCTCGCTCAGGCGGGGCCTCCCTGGAGGGGTGGGAGGGGCACGAAACCATGTAAATAGTATGGTTTCCGATACCCTCCTCGCTCAGGCGGGGCCTCCCTGGAGGGGTGGGAGGGGCACGAAACCATGTAAATAGTATGGTATTCCGATACCCTCCTCGCTCAGGCGGGGCCTCCCTGGAGGGGTGGGAGGGGCACGAAACCATGTAAATAGTATGGTTTTCCGATACCCTCCTCGCTCAGGCGGGGCCTCCCTGGAGGGGTGGGAGGGGCACGAAACCATGTAAATAGTATGGTTTTCCGATACCCTCCTCGCTCAGGCGGGGCCTCCCTGGAGGGGTGGGAGGGGCACGAAACCATGTAAATAGTATGGTTTTCCGATACCCTCCTCGCTCAGGCGGGGCCTCCCTGGAGGGTGGGAGGGGCACGAAACCATGTAAATAGTATGGTTTTCCGATACCCTCCTCGCTCAGGCGGGGCCTCCCTGGAGGGTGGGAGGGGCACGAAACCATGTAAATAGTATGGTTTCCGATACCCTCCTCGCTCAGGCGGGGCCTCCCTGGAGGGGTGGGAGGGGCACGAAACCATGTAAGTAGTATGGTTTTCGGTATGGAGTGGTATGGAATGGTATGGTAGGTATGGTATGGTACGGTATGGTATGATATGGTATGGTATGGTACTGGAGGTATGGTATGGTATGGTACGGTGTGGCATTGGTGTGATATGGTATGGTATGCTATGGTACGCCATGGTATGGTATGGTACGGTATGGTACGTATGGTGTGGTGGTATGGTATGGTATGGTATGGTATGGTGTGGTAGGAACTATGGTATGGTATGGTGTGTGTGGTAGGAATAATATTGTGCTGTATGGAAGATGGAGCGGGAGGTGGGTGGGAAGGAGAGGGTGTTCTGGGAAAACAAGAACCCCACTCAGGATGTGGGGAAAAACCTTCTCGAACCCAGAGCCTCGCCCCCCCCTCCTCGCTCGCTCGCCAGGACCAGTGCTGGGCCACCTCAGACCCCCACCGGGCGCTCGTCTCGACATCCCTGCCTCCCTGGGCCTTCGGCAGAGCGACCCGCGGCGAAGAATCGGCCCCCAAACTCGGGGATGTCTTGACCCAGGTCAATCCAAACCTGGGTCAATCAGGCCCTGCAGGATCCTGAAAATCCTATAAGATCCTGCAGGATCCGGCGCCCAAGCCCGGGTCAGTGCACCCCTGGCCCTGCAAGATCCTGCACTCCTGGGAGGTCTTCGTAAGAAAGATAGAAGGCGATTCAGACCCCCATACAGGGGTGCTACGCCAAGATAGGCTGTAGCCAGACTAGACAAAAGCGCAATACTGATTAAAGGGGACAATGCCGGATCAGGCTGGTCTTCGACCTCTGTCTACCAGCGCCGATGCTGAATTCAACCTCCCAGGAATTGCATCCCAACTCAGGGGAACGGGTCCTGAAGTGTTTGGTTGTCTTCGAGCTCCCAGGGCCCACCACGCGCCCCAGGACCCCCAAGACAAGCAAACCCAAGAGATGGAACACTCGGGCTCTGGAGAAGGCCCTGGGGCCCAGGACCCGCTTCCTGCTTGGTGCATCGTCCTCTCGGGCTGGAGGCGGCCAGGGTGTCTGAGCTGGATATGCCCAGAGAACATCGATCAAAAGGGGGGGGAGGCCAAATCCGCTCAAAATCGGTCCCGGACCCCTCCCGAAGCCCAAGCGCGACAGTTCTCCAGCCGCGGCGACGAAAGCCACTGGAGTACCAAGACGAGGACGAAAAGGCGCCCTTCCTCCCGTTGTGCTGGCCAGAAATGAGGGGCGAAGAACGGTATGACGTAAACGTTTCCGCCACGACCCAGGAAAACAGCCTCCGCCCCCGCCTCCACGCTGCCAACGACCACTGGGCCAGCTGACAGCGGCACGACAACTTGGGCCGGCGGAATGAGCGAAACGATTCATTAAGCTTTTCCGCCGTCGGCCCCCAGGCGGCTGCAAAATTTAGACCCTTGCGGTGTGAGCGTTGCAACCGCCCGGGGGGCAGGCGTCCCAGCGCCGGAAACTCTATGGTGCACCGCCCTTCGTCGAAAGAACCAGCCCTGGGCCACCGCAGACCCCCAGCCGACTCCCCAACTCTCGGGCGCCTCTTGCGCCGGAGCATCGTCCGCCCACCGCCCCGGCGAGGAGAAGCGTGCGCAGAAGCACGGGCGTGGGGCCGGGGGCGCGAGGCCTGCAGACCGCACGGGGCCGCGGACCTCCACGACTCTTCCTCCCCGCCTGCGTCCTCGGTCCTCCGTTATCACTCCTCTTCCTCCCCATGCCTCCCCCATCTATCATCCTCCTTCTCATCCATCCTATTATTCCCCCCTTCCCTCCTCCTCCTCCTCCTCCTCCTCCTCCTCCTCCTCCTCCTCCTCCTCCGCCTCCTCCTCCTCCTCCTCCTCCTCCTCCTCCTCCTCCTCCTGGGATTTTGCCTGGGATTTTGCAAAGGCCTACGCCGTTCAAGACCTCCAGCTCGGCCTGGGCCACGAAGATGTCGACGTGGCCCGTCACGCACGGGCGCCAACGTATCCCTCTCGATTCAAGGTCGAGGAGGAAGGGGCGGGGGAGGTTGGAATCCTTGTGCCGAGGAGGAGGGAGTGGGCGTGCACTGCTGGCGACTCTAGGACAGCAT